TGAGATGGAGGCAGGAGTCCCTCGCATTCCTTGGCACAAATGGCCCATAGCATGCTCGGTGTATTGCTTGCGTAGCGACAGCCGAATAATAACCATCAGACAGAGGGATGACTTTTGGCTGTCCACCTTGTTGGACCCGTTCTCTAAATACCGTTCAAAAATGGTGGCCTTTTTCACACACGACCTGCTGAGAGGGAGGGCCAAAATAACGTACTATAAAAACCACCTATGTAGTCAGTATGGTCTCTGCCTTTCTTTCTGCGCCAACGGTCCATCCTCAGACACTGTGGGCCCTGTGCGCTTCATTGCGTCCGCTGCCATGGGCAGCAGGGGAGGGGTGGGGGTAGGAGCAGTGGCAGCTTCCACCAGCATCGGCTGCCTTCAGTTCCTGCAGTCGATGATGAGTAGCTTTCTTCACCAGCGCAGTGAGGAAACTACTTAACCAGGCCGCAGCAGCAAGCAGCATCAGGTGGACCTGGAGCAGGACCCTCAAACAACAGGCTTGGGCCTACTTGGACAGCACCCTGCCAACCGAGTAGACAATCCCATTGACTACTGGGCAACGAAACTTGACCTTTGCCCCAACTAAGCTGAATTTGCCCTTGAAAGGCTGTCATGCCCGGCCAGTAGCGTCACATCGAGCGCGTGTTTAGTAGTGCGGCAGGAGGTATTGTAACTCCGCGGAGGACACGACTGTCCACCCAAAGTGTGGAGAGACTCACGTTTGTGAAAATGAATCAGTGCGTGGATTTAGTCTGGATTTTCAAACCACCAGTTCCTGACACAACTGACTAAATCCGCCATGAATCATGCCCCAAACATGTGCCACTTTCAGTCTCCTCACACTGCTGGTGTGTTCCATTTTTTGTCATAGGGTGCTGGCAGATTACGGGCCTTCCCATTTGCTGCTGCCAGGGGGGGGGGGGGGACCCGTAATCTGGCCATGGGCCCTAGTATACCCCCACCAGCCTCTCGCCTCCTCATGCTGCTGCCAGGTCCTAGAGTGTGGTCATGGGCCCCTGTACGGCCTCCCATTGCTGCTGTTCTCCATCGCCACACTCTGCTCTTGCCAATGTGCCACTTTCAGGTCTCCTCACACTGCTGGTGTGTTCCATTTTGTCATAGGGTGCTGCAGAATTACGGGCCTCCCATTGCTGCTGCCAAAGCCCGTAATCTGCCATGGGCCCCTGTAACCGCCTCCTAATGCTGCTGCCAGTCCAGAGTGTGTCATGGGCCCCTGTACGGCCTCCCATTGCTGCTGTCCCTCCATCGCCACACTCTTGCCATGTGCCACTTTTCAGGTCTCCTCACACTGCTAGCTGTGGGGTTCCATTTTTGTCATCACAAGGGTGCTGTAATGGCCTCCCATTGCTGCTGCCTCCCACATCCACCGCCAAATTTACCACTGTGGCTCCACACTCTGGTTTTGGCCCCGTGACTGCCCAAATGAGTGAAGTGTGCTGTGATTCTAAGATCGACGGCACTCATCTGCATGTCATACTGACTGACAGTATTATTTCTCTTCCCCCAGCAGACTCCCAAGGGCATTTAAATTAAAGGTACAGTGTTCCTGCACTAATATAAAGGCTCTCTGAAGCCTAGAAACACCCTTTTATAAGTTTAAATTCGCAGCGAATATATTCGCATCGAATCGAATTTATTCCTCGAATTTCGCCGAATCAGCCGAATCGAATTTTTGAATACTTCGCTCATCTCTAATTATGATGTATATTTCCTGCCTCAGTTGCATCAGTTTTTTCAAATAAAAGTTGTTTTGTTCAGCACCATGATCGTAGCTGGTAAGAGAGATACAATGGTGGCAGCTTTTGAACATTTTTTTGCTTTGTATTTTAAAACCTATAGTTTAAAGAGCTAAAATGTGACGATTTTCATGGCAGTATTTTTTAATTGTGCACAGTTACACCTCCAGGCCTGGATAATTGTACTAAATAGAGCAACCCATTCCCAGTTTAGCAATATATACAAGCTCAGGTAATTCCCTATTGCATTGTTGCTGCTGCCCACACTGCATTGTGTTTCTCCCATGCACTGGAGTAAATAAAAATAAAAGTTTTTGCACACCAACTTTTTTCTCTAATGAATTACTATGTGAATAAAAATACACAAATTATTAATAAAAACACATATCAAAATCTCATACATGCATTATGAAACAATAAAGTGTGTAATGCCCACCAAATTCAATCACCTTGCTCCGTGCACCAAAAAAAAAGTATATCTTTTGACATAAAGTTATGTGCTCTTGATAGAACAGTGTCAGGGGCGGAGCCTAATGACGTCATCACGCCAGCCTAGGAATTGGGGTTGGATTGCTGGTTAAGGTGCTTTGAGTGGATGAGTCAGTGGAAAAAACATTGTGATTACTGTGACCAATAGTGCAATTGGTGAAAAGCTGAAGGGATTGCAGGACCCCAGACATATTGGTTCACAAGTGGACTTCATAACCAAGTAGTATATATATATATACACTCACTACTGGCCACTTTATTAGGTACACCTTGCTAGTGCCAAGAAAATATCCCATTATACCACCATCACCAGCCTGAACAGTTGATACATGGCAGGATGGATCCATGCTTTCATGTTGTTGTTTACGCCAAATTCTGACCCTTCCATCTAAATGTCGCAGCAACCAGTCTGTCTATTCTCCTCTGACCTCTGACATCAACAAGGCATTTTCGTCCACACAACTGCCACTCACTGGATATTTTCTCTTTTTCTGACCATTCTCTGTAAACCCTAGAGATGGTTGTGCGTGAAAATCCCAGTAGATCAGCAGTTTTTGAAATACTCAGACCAGCCTGTCTGTCACCAACAACCATGCCACATTCAAAGTCACTTAAATCCCCTTTCTTTCCCATTCTGGTGGCACCAAGAACCATGCCACATTCAAAGTCACTTAAATCCCCTTTCTTCCCCATTCTGGTGGCACCAACAACCATGCCACATTCATAGTCACTTAAATCCCCTTTCTTCCCCATTCTGGTGCTCAGTTTAAGCTTCAGCAAGTCGTCTTCACCACATCTAGATGCCATATGCATTGAGTTGCTGCTATGTGATTGGCTGATTAGCAATTTGTGTTACCAATCAATTGAACTGGTGTACCTAATAAAGTGGCTGGTGAGTGCATATATATATATATATATATATATAATATATATATATATATATATATATATATATATATATATATATATACACCTATCACGGTACCCTGCTTGAATTCACTGAGCTCCTGAGAGCGACCCATTCTTTTAAAAATGTTTGTAGAAGCAGTCTGCATGCCTAGATGTTTTATTTTATACACCTGTGGCCATGGAGGTGATTGGAACACCTGAGTCCAATAATACTGTGATAGGTTGCCACCTGTCCAATAAGTCCATCCGTGAAAGCAACTCAGCCATGTAAAATGACAGAGTGAGGTCAGCGCATGCTGATTAGCACAACAACAGTGCGTAGAGAGCTTCATGGAATGGGTTTCCATGGCTGAGTAGCTGCATCCAAGCCTTTCATCACCAAGTGCAATGCAAAGCGTCGGATGCCGTGGTGTAAAGCACACTGCCACTGGAATCTAGAGCATTGGAGATGTGTTGTCTGGAGTGACCAATCACACTTCTCTGTCTGGCAATCCGATGAACGTGTTTGGGTTTGGAGGTTGCTAGGAGAACGGTACTTGCCTGACTGCATTGTGCCAAGTGTAAAGTTTGGAGGGGGGATTATGGTGTGTGGGGTTGTTTTTCAGAGGTTGGCCTTGGCCCCCTAGTTCCAGTGAAAGGAACTCTTATGGCATCAGCATTCCAAGACATTTTGGACAATTTAATGCTCCCCAACTTTGTGGGAAGAGCTTGGGGATGGCCCCTTCCTGTTCCAACATGACTGCGCACCAGTACACAAAGCAAGGTCCATGAAGACATAGATGAGCGAGTTTGGGGTGGAGGAACTTGACTGGCCTGCGCAGAGTCCTGACCTCAACCCGATAGAACACCTTTGGGATGAATTAGAGCGGAGACTGCGAGCCAAGCCTTCTCGTCCAACATCAATGCCTGACCTCACAAATGTGCTTCTGGAAGAATGGTCAAACCTTCCCATAGACACCCTCCTAAACCTTGTGGACAGCCTTCTCAGAAGAGCTGAAGCTGTTCTAGGTGCAAAGAGTGAGCCAACTCAATATTGAACCCTACGGACTAAGACAGGGATGCCATTAAAGTTCATGTGTATGTAAAGGCAGGTGGCTTAATATTTTTGGCAATATTTTTTTTTCTTTCTTGGTGCACTGAGCATTGTGATTGAATTTTTGTGGCCGTATGCACACTTAATTGTTTTATAAAGCCTATACAAGGATTTGATATGGTTTACTTGGGAGCTTGTTTATATATATTCACATAGTAATTCATTCGGGTAACCTTTTTCAACCATTCAAACACAGAGGAACCCTTGAAAAACACAGGGAACCCCTGCTAAATATTACTATATCTACAACTCATGATACATTAGTGTAATGGTCAGTGAGAAGAATGCTCCTTACACTTGCGGTCGTTTGGAAGAATTACCTCCTTACAGATACTTAAAAAAACCAATGGTGTCAGTGGGAACTTATCTGAGAAGCAGAAATTGCTCATTGGTCAAGGAACCCCTAGCAACCTCTGGAGGAACCCTAGGCTTCCATGGAACCTTGGTTGAGAAACCCTTCATTACAGCAAAAGGTTCATCCAAGTAGAAGAAACACCGCTCCAGGTGGTGCAACAGGATCCTATCCAACACCTACAGAGGTGCACTCCCCTGCTCGCCTCTGGAGACAACAGGAAATCAGAAAAATTTTGGCTGCACATTCCGCTAAAACGTGTGGATTTATTGAAGCATAGTATAAAGATCAATATTACAATCTATGAGCACACAAGCAATGTGATGGCATGGAAAAAAGTTGAAACGGGTCAACATTTTTCCATGACATCACATCGCCTGTGCGCTCATAGGTTATAATCAGGGGCGGACTGACCATTTGGAAACTTGGGCACTGCCCGAGGGCCCAGGGTCAGTAGGGGGCCCCATGAGATGCCCCTGGTACCTTTTTCATAGGCTTTTTTGAGTTTGGGCAAGGACACAGGGACCCCATGATCCTCTATTGCCGGGGGCCCCATGAGTTGTCAGTCCGTCCCTGGTTGTAATATTGATCTTCAAAAAAAATACACACTTTTTAGCAGTGCAGCCAAAATGTTTCTGACTTCCTAAAGAAAAAGGTTGTTGCAAAATACTTTTATTTCTAGTTAAACCTCCAGGCACCTGTCACTCTCACAGCCTCCTGGATTGTCACCAAGGCACCACCCTCAATAACTGTCACAGCTCTCATCAAGCACAGTCAGGGCAATATCTCTCTTACTACGGCACTGACATAGGGATCATGCTGAAATTAATCCTTCTCGGGATCTTCTTGGGATTCCTGGGGGGATAGTCAATACCAGTTCAGGTAAGTCACATTCTTTCCCTCTGTATGGCGGAGGAGAATGCTTTTCTAAAATGTAACATGTATAAAAGACACTTTATTGCATATATGTACCTGACCACTACCTATGCAGCCTATTGCCTTTCTACAGAAACTACAAATCCCATCACTTACGAAATTTAACAGCTGGATGGAGACATTGCTGCAGTAAATACTGTTTCTCAAATAACCATTTTCAGAACCTGACCATGACCTAATGGCGTATTTACTGGCATTATTTTGCGCCATTGCATTGTGGCACACTTATAAACCCATAATGTATAAATTTATAAAAACATATAAACTTATAAAAACCTTATAATAAACTTCTATAAAATTATAAAATCTTATATAAACATATAAAAAAGTATAATAAACATATTAAACCGTGAAATAATGTATAATAATAAATAATTTAGAAAAATGTATATAATTTATATTTAAATTTTTGTATATATTTTATTTATTTTTATAATTTTATTTTAATTTATTTTTATAAATGTCTAATTTATAAAAATGTATAAACCCCAAAATAAACTTTATAAACTCCAAATTCTATGGTTATACAATAATACTCACAAAACTAAATTCCTCCAGCTGAAAGCTGAAAATAAAGGCCTGATGGTTGATATAATGCTAGTCCCTCCTATTGCCTATTCCTCTTATGTGTATAAGTACAACTCACTTAAAAGCAAAATAACAAAAGTACATAATGACTGAAAAAATATCTGCCATAGTCATATATAAACACAAAAGAAAATAAGATTTTAGGTGAATACAAATTAAAAAAACTATCTGCAATGTTACCAAATTAATAATAATGCCAATGTGTTAACTCATTAATTTGCTTCAGCACTTTCTTTATTTGGAGGGTGTATGTATTTTTTTTGGAGGCGGGTATATTTAGGGGAATTTTTTTATTAGCATTCTTTGTATTATTTTTTAATGAGTGTTTAGTCTTTTTTCCTTTACTGTTGCTTTTTCATTTTATTTCTTTTAGAATAATTTTTTCCACTTTTTTTTAATGAAATAAATTACAAAAACATGGCCAACATTTGGCCATTTTTTGGCACAAGAGCATGCCAAGAATAGTTGGAAGGATCTTATGTTACCCCAAAGTCCATTGCACCATTTAAAAAAAACACTTTTCACAAGCCCATGTCATGTCTGCTTTAAGTAGCACCACTGATTTGCCACAAGTTCCTCTCCCACATTAGTGCAGCATCAGCAAGGCTCAGAGTAATAGGGATGGGCTGAACACCCCCCTGTTCTGGGGACCCCCTATAACAAGGGGGCCCCCAGAATCCACCCCCCCCCCCCCATGTGAATGTGTATGGGGTACATGAAAATGCTACTAATTCATAAAAAAGTGTAGTGTGAAACATAACAAAAGATGGTCTTTGATAAGTCCTTTATTAAAAGCAAAAATTTAAACAAGTCCCCTGAAATACATCCAACGTCAATTATGATACCCGCCACCCTGAAAAAAGAAAAAAAAAAAAAGTTTTGTGCTTGACGCTACCATCCCGTCATCTGACAGCTGCGCCAGCCTGACAGTTATTAAATATCTAAAGGGGTGGGGCCACCTGGTGACATCAACGGGTGACCCCACCCCCTTGTGATGTTGTGGTGTGCCATGATTGGCCAAAGCATTGCATGTGACCTGTGGTCAGGTGCATTGCTTTGGCCAATCACAATGCACTGTCAGAGCATGGTGCATTGTAGAGCGTGGCAGGAAACCCCACAAATAGCAGATGTTCAAGTCAAACTTACATTCAAGCCCAACTCTACACAGCAACAGCCACTCTTTCTGGCTCAATGAGTTTAGGGTTGCTTTTTTTTCCAAAATGTATTGCTGAATGCACTTGGATAAGGCATAGGGAGCTGTGGGATACTCCATTACTCTGAACAGCAATGAGAGGACTCTCTTCACGATACTCCTTAGGACAGTCAACTATAGTAATGGCCCAGAGGTTGGACAGCAGTGAGCCACTGTCAGAGATATCCCAGACCAGGCAAGCACTAATACTGACACACAAGGGATGGCAGCAGAAACAGTCACCAGGATCCTGCACTCAGGTCTCTACTCACAATGTCCCTGGACACTTCAATGCCTCCTTCCAATATCAGACGGACATTTTCTAGTGAATTCTCCAGACCAGATTCTCAGTGTACTCCCTTGATTAGTTCCAGAGATTTTCAGCATAGCTGGGACCTCGATGAACACACGTTGAACTTCAGCTGGGCTGTGTAGAAGGTCTGCAGCCCTTCAGGCTGGGAACCTCTCCTCCTGGACAAGAACCAGGCAGCTCCTAACTCCAGACTATTTATGCACTCCCCAGCCACCTTCTGGGCACCCCCCCCCCTTCCACCAGGAATTGGCTGAGACCAAATAAATAGGTTGCTGATTTGCCTCTACAGCCTACTACATTCTGGAATCCTCCACAGGGTAGGGGGAAACAATCAAACCTGCAACCAGTGGAGCCCAGAACAAACCAAAGCAATCACAAGCTGTTCCACTGATTACAGATACATAGTTACATAGTTAGTCTGTGTCAGGGCAGGGGCTGTGGAACGGACACGCAGGCCTAGTGGCCGGGTAACGCACTGACTGACAACAACCACCACCCACAGACCGAAGTCCCTCAGGGTGCGGAGTCTAAGTCCCAGACTGCCCTTCACCAGAGCCCCTGATGGTGGGGATGGACTTGACGCAGCCAGGAACAAGGTCGCGGCCCCCGAGACACCCCAGCTGCGGCAATGGCCGCCGCCAATGGCGTGTAGCTGGTAGGAATGACAATAGCGTAGTCAGGCAGGCCGGGTCGACAACAACGGGACAAAACGGTACAGAAACAGTGGACAAGAATCACAGGTCACAGGCCGGGTTCAGCAATGGAAGGTCAGATCAAAGGAAAATACAGAGAATGGTCTAGTCACAAGCCGAGTCAGATTCCAGGAGAGTCACGAGAGTATGAACAGAGCTGTAGCAACACAAAGACACAAGTGCAAAGGGCATGTGCGGATCACAGGCTTATATGTAATTAGCCACACCCCTCTGGTGGATGGACCTCAGAGGCCTGAAGGCATAAAAGACTCCCACCATGCTCTGCAGAAACCCAAGATGTACGCCAGCACATGAAGCAGCACAATCTCTGGGAAAAGGTAGGACCTTGACAGTCTGGCTGAAAAAAGACAAAAGTCCATCCAGTTTAACCATTAAAAAAAAAATAAATTATAAACCCACGGTTGATCCAGAAGAAGGCAAAAAACCCAGCAAAGCAAGATCCAATTTGCTCCTGCAGGGAAAAATATTCCTTCCTGATCCCCCGAGAGGCAATCAAATATTTCCTGCGTCAACTAGCTTTCCAAGCAACCTATCTAGAAAGGTGCTCCATATCTATGGCATGGAGGAGTGACCAAGGGAACCAGGGCTGGGACTAGGGATAGAGGCAGTAGGGGCAGCTGCCCTGGGCGATGTGTTTTTATGTGTTGGAGTGGGTGCCCCCGAGGCAGTCTGTCAATCCTGCCAGATATCTTTTCAGCTGATAACTTCCTGTGCTTTCTGCTTGTGCTGCACTCTTAGGGTTCATGCATTTGGAAAACTCTTCTGAACGATGCAAACTGACTGCTGGAAAACGTAGGTTAAAAAACGTCAGTTTAGCCAGGTCTGCATACCATGTTTATGTGCGTATGCTTTTAGAAGTATTTTTAAAAGGTAACCTCAGGAGATCTTCCCAAATGCGCAGAATGCACTGAAAAATAGTAAAAAATGTATGATTTCAGACATTTTGAGAGAAATAGAGAGAGCAGAAGCAGAGAGAGCAGTATGTGTGGAGATGACCTGTCTTTTCTGGTTGTATTCACTATGGATCCCATCATGAGCATAATGCGGCACGTTCTACCATTGTTTTCTTCACGCAAAACCTGGAACTGACTGCGCTGGTGTACCGGGTCCATTTGGACACATGGAAAATGCTTTTCATGCATTTCTGATGATGACAACAGGCTCTGGACAGCATCTGGACATGGAACAGTTAAAAAGGATTAACCCCTTAGGGTCCACAGTGAATATCACAAGCATGCTTTACTGCATATACAGACTGAATTTACTGTTGTGGGTTTAGTAACACTTTAAGCTGCAGAATGGGGGTCATGGGTTTCACTGAACAATGATTAAGCATTCCCATTGAGATCCATATTCAGTGCCCATTGGATTGATTGAAGCATAAAGGACTCAAAGAAGACTGCCTGACTCTTGTAAAATGCTTTGGAAATGCTAGCTGAAGCTGATGTCCCTTTAAGGTAGAGAGAGCATTTAGGGTTATGGGTATTTTGAAATTCAAATATATATTTTTGCCAAACCCAGAGGTCGTTGTTATTCGGGTCCTGCATAAAGTTTACCTTGACATTGCAAAATAATTCAGAGTTCAAGTTTTTGTCCAAGTTTTCTTTTAATCACATTGAAGTCAGTTGACTCATTATTGTTCCAGATTTTAGAATCAGATAAATCCCAGCATTGAAAATGAAGAAAAGCAAAGTAAAGGAAATCAAAAAAGTAATGCAGGCCATACACAGGTCGAATTCCAAAAGAATTTTGTTTTGAAAATCATAACTAAGAATTTTCGTTCAAATTTCGCACCATTAGTGGGCCACAGCATCGACCGATTTTCATGCGGCCATCGAATTTGAGTGA